CTTGTTGTGCACCACCCAGATTTTAACTTTAACCTTACTGTTTCATCTTTGTTTTGTTCCTCCAAGTAAGCAGGGAATTTTTCTGAGCAACGATACGTGTTTCTTAGGAAAAGAGTTCAAGTACGCTGACGTTAACGTTTATGTAAGCAGTGACCTTGGTTTTAACCTCGGGGCTGCAGCGATCTCCCATGTCTCTTATTTCTAGAATTTCTAGAATCGCATGTACCATAATACATCCAATTAATATGTGGTTATAGTCTCCTTTGTCTCTAACGCTCCTGCATTTCTCCTCAACCTCTGTGCTCCTGTTTTAACAGTGATTCATAGATTTGAATGTTTTAACATGTGATCGTTAAATGTCAGTCTCTGTTGGGATTCGTTGGGAATGGTTTGTATCAGAGTGAATCATTCTACCACAGTAACAGCTCAAGCTTGACTGAACTCAGAACAGTCTTAACTTGTTGATGCACAAAGAGACCAGATTAATTCCTGCTTCGGTCTGTCTTCAGTTTTAACTGCTGTGATTGTGGGATTTGGGTTCAGAGATGACCGACTTTCAGTCTTGCACCTGAACACATCTGATAGATGTTAGACAGTACCTGCCTTGCTGTGAGCTAGTCCAGAGTCTGACTCCTTGCAATTAAACTATCGGTTGATTTTTAAATGTGTGATTTTGGGCGATATTTTCTGTTTTCTAAAGAAGCGATACAAATCGCTGCTCATCACAAGAGGTCAGTCCCTGAAGATTGTTACAAGAGCCAATTGAATGCAGACATGCTTCTTATGTTGAGATGTCTAAAAAGAGACTGCAGCGAAGTTGCACTGATCACTCTTCCTAAAAACAATGAATCAGCTTCCAAATAGAAGAGATCGCTTCACATTAAAACTGCAGCTGCCTCCACTGCCTGGAATCTGACACCTACACACCAGTTTTTATGCACAGATGCACTTACACCTTTCACACACTGTGTGTGTGCGTGTGTGTGTGTGTAACTATCTGTACTATAACTTCAGCCGCTATGCCCTGCAGCAGCTCTGATTCAGAGTTGTGCAAGTGGAATTTTCACCAGAAGCAGCATGACAAGGAGACACAAGTGTATTTGGACAGAGATGCAGCCAGTTCTGTTTCCATGAAACCCACTGTTAGGGATTGCATCAATGTGTGTGTGTGTGTGTAGTCGCACAAGCCTGAGAAACCACAGTGAGGTCACGTCTCACACCCTACACACACACACACATATTCTGTGGGCACATGCACACTTCTGCTGGAGCTGCAAAGATAATCAAAATGCTCTTCATGTCCAAAACACCTACACACAGAAGCAACAACTTCTAGCTGCTACTAGCACAGCAGAAGGGAAAACTAAGCATTGTTTCCAAGAACCATTCAGAAAGAGGAGCTTTGCACAGAGAGGAGGAAATATCCACTCTGCTGGTTTATTTTACAAAGTGCTGTGCACGACATATTGACCTTCGGGAAATAACAGGATAGAATCTGTAACGAAGCTGTGCCAGAAACTGCAGTTCCTCTAATGGCCACCGGAGGGTGACGTCAAAAGCGAATCAATCTCCACAGACGCTCATACATGAAAAAAGATAATGGCAGCCTGATCTGGGTGTGGTTGCTCTGACTCCGCCCACACAGCCCATCTGAACCACTAAACTGGATCTGTCAACCACAACTGTGATGTTGGTAACTGTTGAAGCATTTTAATTAGAATTATCTGACAGTATGTGTGGCTCCAGGTGAATAAACTAAATGAACAGCTGTAACACATATGGCTTTGATTTATAAACTCAAAATGCTCTCATAAATCCTGTAGGGGGAGGAGATTACCTTCACACACGATCTCCAGTGTTGTCCTCTGCTTAATTTTATTGTAGATTATCTTTTCATCATGGCGGAGAGTGCAGACGTGGAGCAGCTCCTCACAGCTTTCAGGAAGTTTGCAGTCCATGGAGACACAAAGGCAACAGGCAAGGATCTAACCGGGAAGAACTGGGCCAAACTGTGCAAAGACTGCAAGATCACTGACGGCAAGAACGTCACC